GGTTCATTCCCACAGGCGCGCTGAAAACTGAAGGAGGTCCCCAAACCTACACAGGGAGGCCCAGCTTTGGCTTATTTGGATTTGGGAACTTGGTTCCTGAAAGGCTCTCCAAATGGAGGTCCCAAATGATTCTAGGAAATGCACATGACGCCGACCTGCTTTTTTTGATTGAAGAAACCAGGCAAAAGTTTCAGGTTTGGAAACTGAGCAGGCAAGTGACGCGAATTGCAAAGTGGCAACTCCAACTCGGGAAATTGTTTAGTGTCCACATGCTGGAAAATCTATGGAGAACGATCTTTCCGGGGATCCCAACACGTCGGGCACCCCCTTGCTGCCTAAACATGCACTGGAGGATTGGGATATGCAACCGTCACTTGTGAGTCCTTTGCCCCATGGCTATAATGATCTGTGGAAGGCATCATGCCGATGGCACTTGTCACAGCAAGACTATGCGGCTTTTGACAGGTATTCTCAGAACCCATCGTCCAGGCCGAAGGAGGCTATGGCACTCAAGTCTCGCGCAGTCTTGTCCAACAGCAGTCCTTTTCACACGCTTAAATGTCACACTCCCACCGAATGAGCCTTGCAACGAGACCCTCCAACCCCCCGAGAGATAGGCCAGGATCTTGGGGGTCGCCAGATTGGTGCAGGTGGGCAGATTGGTCTGGGAAGATTAAACCATAGATCGCAGCACCCCAAGTCCCAGACCTTTGTCATGGGTGAGCGCGCGTTTCCCCAGATTGGTAGGGTCGAAGGGGGACAAAGTCCACTCAAGAAACTAGCTGCTTGAAAGCCTATGCTAGTTGGGATAAGCCCCCTCATGCCGATCGATTCGCGTTGAGTATTGTTCATCCACATGTGCCATGGACTCAAAGCGCTGTGTTTTTGGCCTATGGTCATGGATCCCTTCATAGGAATCAATGCAATGCAATGGTTGAGGATCCTTATTGGCAGGCAGGTGGATGACAAATCCCTGTCAACCCAAAGCAAAGGGTTTCATTTACCATGGCCCACATGCCACAAAACGTGTCCCATCCGCCCTCCGGATAACCCAAATCGAACCTGGTGGCCCGTTGCAAAAACATCGGATCGGGGGTTGGGTAAAAGCTGCTGATATTTGTTCCATCCACATGGGCAACGCATCCGGTGAATCAACCAGCTGGAATGGGTGTCGTTTTTGGAGGGTGCCATTTTCAGGCTGGTTCAAAGAAAATTGGTGCGTTAGCCATGGTTGTGGCACAAAACCTGTTCTGTGATACCCAAGTGGTTGCTCACAAAGCACATTCCCTTAAATCTGCTTTTACTGGCCCAAAGTCACCTCCTGTTCAGTGGAGGAAGTTCCAACTTTTCTGGGCTGTTCCCAGATCACCTGCCAAAAGGAAACAACCTTTTGTTGGTGAAATGGACACCCCCCCACTACACCGACAAAACCATCAACTAAGGAACCGGATAGCTGGGAACCACCCAGAGATCCATCTTCTGACCTTTCATAAGCACCAAACACTGGCGCGAATACGTAGGGAAGGTGGGAAAGTGGATTTCCCCTTTAACAAAAACGCGCCAACCAGTGGCATGGCTTATTCTCCTCCCACTTCCCAGCGCCCGAAGCGCCCCGAAACGCGCCCCGAAGCGGAGCGTCAGCTTCTGCTTTTGGGGGCTGGCCGAGAAGTCGCAGGTGTCCATGCGACCCTCGGGCTCCCCCCCGGAGAAGTAGAGGAACTTCACGTCGTAAGTGGGGACCACCGTCAAAGTCCGGGACCTCCCAAAAGCTGAAAGGCGAGAAAGTCGCCCATGGGTGTGGTTTTCCGTTTTTGCTTTCTATTTTTCGGATTGCCCCGTTTGGAGGTGGACTGAAGGTTCCTGGGAGTTGTCGGTTTGGCTTCAGGTTAAATGTACGGTGGATGGTTGCGAAATCCATGTCGCACCACAGATTAGAAACCCAGGTTTCTGATTCGATTCCCAACGTAAATACCGACCAACGTTATGGCTTCGACCATGGTTTCCTAGATATTTGGAACGGATTTCGCAAACATCCACCGTGAGCCTTGGGATGGTCTCACGTGACCTTGAAACCATGCCGGAAAACAGAGGCGGTGGAAACTAAAAGGCAGCCACACAAAATTCTACGGGGGCCGTTGCAAGCAATATTAACTGGAATGAGCGCCTACCAGGATGAGAATGAAAACTCATCTGACAAGTCCTTAACAGCGAACACCATACGAGGGTGTCAGTTTTCGAGAGTACCCTTTTTGGGGTACTATTGAAAGGAAACCACAGGAAAGCCGAATTCCACAAAGAAAAGGCGAGCCACCCATACAACAACCCTCCAACCGCCCAACCCCAGCCGCCGTTCTCCGAGCAGTTCGATCGAAGGGACAGGTTGGCTTCGGGGTTGTCGAAGAGCAACTTCCCGAACTTCTTCTCCTGCAAGGCCTGGCGTTCGCCAAAATATTTTCGAGAACATCACCCACAAGGGGAGCGAAAACAATCCCAATCCAAACCAGCAACTAAGGGGCTACCTACCAACCCTAGGGTTTTTGGTTATACAGGTTTGTATGGGTCTTACTTTCCATCGCTGTTGTTGAACGAGGTAGAACCAACTGCCGAAATTGGGAGCAAATCCCAATCCAAACCACCAATCAAGCGCTTACCTGAGCAGTGCCAATCCAAAAACCGGCCAACTGCTCTTTCTATCAACAGGTTCTAGTTCTCTACCAACCCTGCTTTGGTTTTGCAGGCTTGTACTCAAGAGGTAGAACCAATGGCAAAAATCGCCCGAGTAAAGGGCCTAAACCCTTCAACCACTGGGACTCCAGGAAAAAGTCTGGAATTCCGCGGGCAATTGTGCCTTTTCCATGTTACCCAGGGCTTGGTTTCCCTGAAGTAAATATCGGCTTGTGCACCAAGATGAGACTGGTGGCTACAGACCGCAACCAACCCGGAAGGAAAGGAGCTAAGGGGGCGCGTTTTATGAGGATCGGATCGCTTGAGGGTACCACTGGAAGGCTTTGCTGAAAGATATCCCGTGTGTCCCAACCAGGCCCATGGATTTCCATGTGGGCAAAAAGGGTGGGGCGCTCTGCTTTAGTCTTCCCCCCGAAGTAGATGGGTTGGATTTGATTCGGAATCAGTCACTCATTTTTTAGCGCCACTGGCCTGAGGTCTAACGAAGGTGCCTCCCTTGAGAACCCTCAGGAGCCTGTGGGTTGTTGAAAGGGCTTAAACGGGGATCAAGGGCAGCTCTACCACAATCAAATCGAAACAATCCCTACTTTCAGGATGCAACTCATTTTGTTTAGTCTTTCCCAGAAGGGAATATGGAATTCCATGTATCACCCCCTCCCCCAATTCCTCTTGAAACCGTCCGAAACTTCCTTGGCCCCAAGAAAAATTACCTTTAAACCAACCCAAAGGGGGCGTTTTGTTACAAAACCCGGTGCTAAAATGGTCTACCCAAAACCATGTAATAAATTAAGAAGGCGGATATCCGCAGCTATTTATGGTTGGGATTGTCCCTTGCCAACCTTCATCTACCCGGGTTTTGATTGTGTCTCACATGTTTCAGGGGAAACCGTCGCCATTTCTTGGCCAACAGTGCGCGAGCCCGCGAGCCCGTGATTAGCCCGCGACGCCTGGAAGCCCCCGAGCGACCGGAAGATGCCCACGTGTTGGAAGAGGGAGCTGTGAGACTTCCAGTACCTCCGCACTTGCGACCTCCGGCCATGTTCACACATCGCGCGAGACATCCTGGACTCACCGCAGTTTTTGGCACTTCTGCGAAAATCAGGGGGAGCCGATGACTTCCACCAGGGTTTGCAAGGCTCCCTCTAGAGACTGTTGTCCCCCAAACTTGGCTGGAAAAATTGGCGGCTCCTATGAAACTTACCCTTTAACAAGCCGACAAAGGGAACCGTCAAGAAAAAGCCACACACTTATAGAAAGGTCTAAATTCTTCGAATGGGGTTGTGGGATTAAACACCATATTTAGTGATGGAGACATGTGACATATGCTTTGATTAAATGTTGCACCTTGTATGATATTGGGGCTATTTACCAGCGTTGGGAGGGGCGACCTGGGGACTAAAACAAAAAACCCAACGGCCATGAGGAAACTCAAAGGCTGCTGTCGCCACGAAGAAACCACCTGCCAAGACGAAACTTAAAGGAGATTCTACAAAAGCAAATCAAAACAACACCAAGATGGAAGCCAGAATGGCAGGATGGTGTCCAAAAGAAAGCGGCAGCCGCAAAAGGACCGAATCCGAAGCCATTGGCCCGAAAGCGGCACTCGATCTTCTTGCCCTGGGTCATTGACAGCACCCATTGGCCCAGCAAAATGTCGCAGGGCATCTGGTCCTAAGATCTCACGCCTTTCCGGTGGCTTAACCGGCGTAACCCAAAAAGAACCCGAACAGGTGGCTTTCAAGTGGAAACATACAAATCAACAGGCTTGGTACCGTGTTAAAGCGAAACCCAAAGGGACACCACGTTGTATTTATCTTTTTGTTGCGGGGGGGGGGAGGGCAATAAAACAGACACATCCGTATAGTGACTAACAAACAGTTCGCATACCCAACCAATGGGTGCAGTTACAGAGAGTTCCCAGCACATTTGTTGTATTTTTTGTTGGGGGGTTTCTTAAAAAGACACTCCCAAAAAGTGAATAACAATCAGTTATACCTGACCAATAGGTACAGTTACAGAGATGTCCCATGGGCCATGAGGATTGCACGTGTTGCTATGCCAATCCTCCTATCAAGGGCCACACAACGAGGGCCATCCAATCCCAATAGGACTTTAACCCAAGCTGAAAAGGTTGAAAAAACGCCCCCCCCTGACGAAAAACACAAACAAAAAACACGGTTTTCCTTTTGGCTTCCCTCTGAAACCACCAAAAAGATCGAGAGCAGACCCCCCCAAAAAAGGAATTCACACACAGCACATCCGGGTGTCGTAGAACAGGAGCAGGAACTGCGCGAGCCGCGTGAGCTCGCTGGCCTGGAACATCTTCCCGATGAAGCCCAGCTGCGAGAAGTCGATGAGCCGCCACGGGGCGTTCTCTTTGGAACGAAACCTTCCATTTGCTTAAGACCCCTGGATTTGTTTCTCGCTTTTTTTTGTTTACAATATTTCTAATAGTGATAAATTCCTTTTAAAACCAACAAGGGAAAATGACAGAATATTCTTAAGCAAATGGAAGAAACGTTGGGGGGTAGGAGGACGAGATGTAGCCGGTGATCTTGGAGATCCAGTGCGGTGCAAAGTTGATGTCGTCCTCAATCTGTAAGTACAAAGGGGACAAGCTGGCAGCATAGTACATCAAGAAGGCATAGTCCACATTCCTTGCGAAGCCCGGCATACTAGCATATTGGCAACGATACCGAAGAAAAACTGAGGAAGACAACTCACACAAGCTGAGCACACGAATTTGGCAGTGGAAGAGATGTTTTCAAAAGCAAAGGCATGCACAGAAAAATGGCAAGCACCTAATTCCTGCCATAATGGGAACCCCGTATTAATAAACCCTGATTGATTAATTGGGGGCGTCCGCTTTTTAGTGGGGATTCATCACTATTGGAGGGGAACACACCCTTTCTGATAGATCCGGTGAACTAATCCGAGATCAACACTAACACGTCCTTAAAACAAGACATGCCAAGAACTCGAGTGAAGCCTCTGCTTTGAGCGCCACTTCACCCGGTGAGGCTCATCCTTGTAATTGCAGGCAGGCGGACAGAGGTCCAGTGGTGGGTAGAGCTCCTCTTTGGCGTGAATCGCATGGAGCTGGCCTCCATCCACCAGCGCCTTGTACCTCACAGTTTCAACCACCTGCCCCGGGTTCTTGAAGATGCCAAAAGGGGGGGTTCTGTCAACATTAGTCTGCTGAACTGTGTTCAGAAAAGGCTTCATCGATTTTAATCGCCCAACCCGGACCCCTTTACACCCAAAGAGAATGTGGCTGGCAGCCTTTTTGTAACGTCTAGAGTCTAGATTGGTAGTGCCCCCCCCCCCCGCGTGGCTTTCTGAGTGAGCTCTCCCGTTTGCCTGAGTTGACGTCTGGCTTGTGACTTCCATTTTCTGGCCCAAGCACCCACCTGCCAACCGAGGAAACACCACATGTACCCTCCTGCAGATTGACCTGGCAACCGAGGCAACTTGCATACCAGTTGGTGCTTTGGTTGGTTGGAGGTTGGAGGGCTTCTGATGCATCCTCTACACCAAGGTGTCCCATTCCCTGACAATACCTGCCAGAGGTATCTCTACAATGGGAAGCCTTGCTGGGCATCCATTCCTGGAGTGAGCCAGCTATAAATCGGCTTGTAGGAACCCGAAATGCTTATCTACCTGCAGAATATGTGAGGAAAATGCCCCATGATCCAACAAAAGACAAGTTCCCAGCTGCCCTCTAATTGTTGGTTTGCTTTGGTGGGTGTTCCCAGGGTGGTTTGCCATTTGTCCTACAAGAACCGGGAATGAACCGGGAGTTCTTATCCCAAACAATCAAAGAATAAGGGGGGAAGCTCGGCAGCAAGCAGCACACCCGACCCCCCCTCCAAAAGAAACAGCAGCACATAACAGCACCAATTCCCCTGAAACAACTGCAGAACTGTATGAATGCCAACTGCGCCCCCAAGGCCAATCACCAACTCAAGCAAGACGACTCAACATCGACGAAGAACGGCTCCACCCACCCAGAAAAAAAACACTCACGCTCAACAACTCAACAACACATATGCCTCCTCGAAGAAAGACAAAGAACAGCAACCATTCACCCCTGCCCTGCAAAGCAAGAACAAGCCCTCCCTCCCGCCCCCCTCCCCCTCCCCAAAGAGAAAAGAGCAATAATTGCGAACACATTCACTCTGCGGGCATCTCTTCTCTCTTCCACAAAGCAAAACCTTGACCAACTCAAGTAAGGCAACTCCTCCTGAAGCCGCTGAGACATGTGCGCCACCCAGGAGTAGTTGAAATCTGCCAGGTGGGCCACGATAACAACCTAGCCAACCCCCAAAGCGACAATTCGGGACACGTAGTCGGCACTCACTGGGGCAGGCCTAAAGAAACATGGAGGTTGGACAAGCAGTCAGAGGCTCCAATGAAACAGTAGCAATCTGCGAATTCTACAAACACATGCCAACACCTGAAACAAAGACCCCTCAACACATGTCCTACGGGCAGGAAGAAACTAAGCCGACCTGATCTAAAGCTTAGCCTGTCGAAAATAAACGAACATGCGATACCCAAACTGGTCAAACCGGGCTAGACTCGCCTTCCTCAACTGAGATGGGAGTCAAGCTGAACAACTGTTGAACGAAACGCTGAGCAACTTATTTGGGCTTATTTGGCCCGTAATAAGGCTCAATTCCTGTTCTGGGAGAATCTTTAGGGTCATGTCTGCGCCAGCTCGCTTGGATGATTGGGCCCCCACCAGTAATCAGAGCCCCAAGTTGTTGATACATCCTACAATCCACTTTGGGGTACTTGATCCCCAACTTATGC